ACAAGTTAAAATGCTACCTCTACAAAGGAGTTGTTCATGATATATCTTATCTACAACAACTAGATATTGTGAGCGAGGCCGAAGGTCCTGAGTTTGAATCCCGCGCCTGCGATCGTGGATGTGCACTGATCAAAAGTCCCATTTTAGGACATACAGCCGTCTAGGGCTTCCATGTTTTCAGTGGCTGCCTAACCTGCTTCGGTGTGGGCACCCGGGCATTATCACAGCCCCCACACAAATCAAATGAGATTTGTGAGGCGCATATGTATCTGGTGCCCACTTGTATCAGTATTTATGTGTTCAAATAAATAAATAAATTAATGGCTGCCTAATATTGGTCTGTTAATGAATTCAAAGAAATAAGAAAACGAATATGAATGTTTCAATAAAGAAAATATTCCCTCGGACAATAGCATTTACTTAAATTGTTCAGTCGTAAATACATAAAATTTTACCATGTGCACTCGACACTGAGGTATAATACTCACCTGTCTGATGTTACTAATTTCACTACAAATTCAATATGTAATTTGAATTTCGTTACTTAGCCGAATGAATCATGTAACGACTCATTTGATGTGCGCGTAGAATTGTATGCATACATTACGTTAATGTCTCTAGTTTGATTTCACTGGTGAAATAAGATGTCGATGACAGACAAATGAAAATTGACACATCACAGATTGTCTTAGACGTGGAATAACTCGTATTTACTGTATGATATAAGCCAATCATTTAGTCCCAAATAGGTCAATCTGTCTTGGAAACTTAATGATCGTAAGTAAAACGATGCATTATTTAGACATCGTTAGTGCAGAAATTTATTCTTATCATTGGGCAGTTATACTTGATCTTTTCCATGCTATATATGATACGCACTTGATAGAAATTTACTGGATAGCTGTTTCTATCGTGTGACCGGACCAATGCTAAAATATTGAGTGAGCAAAATTAAGTCAGTTTATTCAGGAGGCCCCAAAAGGTCTATATTGCGTTCTCGTTGATATCTACGATGAAAAAGTATTATCAAGTCTGTTATCCACTTATAGAATACATGATATCCTTGTAAAACAAACAAAGTAACTGAATGTGTCGCATTCCAAACATCTAACCTATTCACCAGAACCGCATTCGACTCTTGAAAGTTGGGAGAATTAACATACAGAACAAATATCAAAATTGTCTTCGTCAGATTCTTCACTAGGGTAATTGATTTCATTTGCCACTTGCATATATATGTTTGCTTCAGCCTCGCCTTCACTGTCGTCACTAGATATAGTAGCATTGAAATCTGCTATTGACTTCTTCCATTTCTTGTTCTACGAAACTAGATAATATTTTGCTAGGGTTGTAATTCGGCTGGTCACCTATATGAATCGGAAATTTTGGATAGAATTCAGGACCTGGATCAATGGGTGTAATGACGGAACCACACCAAAATCCTGCTAATCAGCTCGGGAATTTCTGGGCAAAAATCTGTATGCTACTTGATGGAACTGTCTCGTCCTCTTTGTTTCACCTGTTTGTACAACCAATATATATATATATATATATATATATATATATATATATATATATATATATATATATATATATATAAGTTAAATGTTATGAACACAATAGAAATAAGGAACGTGACTTAGTTCACCAGGAGAGTGCGTGTTCCAAATTGATCTGGTATTAAATATCCACAATTATAGATGGTTAATAAGTCCAGTAAGTGTGATGGATTCCCCAATGATATGATCCAGCGGTATATATATGGTATATCCTAATTGCAGTCTGTAAATGTAAATGGTATTTGATTCAGACTTCGGTTAACACAAATGCGAGTGAATGTAGAACGAGAGGTATGTGCGAAGTAGTGTATTTGGGAAACAACCACAAACGTGTCGCGCTATGTAATATCACAACGGAAAAAGTGTTCAAGGTCATACACTTAAACAACAGGTACAATCATTTAATGATAAATATACATGCAGTGGGAAATTGACAGAATAAATACAAATAACATTAAAAACTATTTACAAAATAAACTTGTCAGGTATATCTCCACATTTTTTTCATGTAATTAATTGTATATGTCGATAACTATCGTCGGCAACCCTACTTGTCAAAAAAGATTGTGTGAGATCGAGTGACATATCTGTGTCACCTCACTGTACACAGACTGATTAATTGTTTCCTTTTGGTTTTTAAATTTCCTCCATCGATGACGACCTGTCCGCGGACTATATGATGATCTGTTTTGCTTATGTGGCATAATGCAGCTTCTCAGTATACACTTATCAACGCTAGAAAATAATGTAACAATGAACAATTTTGTTTGATTTTGTATGCCTTATCAATATAACCGTTATTTCTACAGTAAGCATCTGTTACTCAGTACAAATTGTCTTTCTTTTTGTGTGAAGACCAGGACGAATATTAGGCTTTGATTGGTGAGTTTGATCACTGCAAACATTTCACTAGTAGAACATTGACTTAGTCGCTGTTTCACGTTCAGCCTTCATGAGAACTCCCGTAGGTACTGTTTAGCATGATTTATGTCGACGACTGATATCTGAGACACGATCAGATCAAAATTCAAATCAGAAATCATTGAGTTGACCAATTAGGCCCACCAACAATGAAGTTTCTTTTGTTTCTATGTATCAGTCTCGTTTCCCTTTAATTCTGTAATAAATAAATGAGCATTTCTTGAGGTTAATAACGCTACTTGTTCATGGTTTTTTTTTGTTTTAAGTGAAAAATACAAGCTATCCAGATGATTCACACTTCAAGAGTGCTGTAAATTACTACACATCTTGTATAGACAGTTCCAATAGAGACATCGCAGTGATTGAAAATGACGTTATTAAATTGATAACATCTCTATTCAACGGGTGGTACTTGACAACTAATTACAAAAAAAACTCCTTAATTGTCAAAAAGAATCTGCGTAACGACAAAACATTCAATCTTACAGGTTTACTTTTACCCTTGTTGTTTCAAAGTGGAAGTACAACTTTATTTTCACTAAAGCTAGTAAAGGATAACGATCCACACATTCATGTGAGTCACCTAGTGTTACATAATTTGGGCGCTGAACTGTAATACCGAGTTTTAAGTGTTCAATTCTAATATTTCCAAATTGAAATTATGTTATTTGAAGGATTACTGGGAACAAGTTAAATAACTGAGCATCTTTCTGTTTATTGAAGAAAATCCTTGATAAATTTCCATAGATCCTGATTTTGTCATAATGACATTTAGTCGTTTAGTCAATTGGTTAATTAATTTGTATCAGTGTGTTCTACTTATATGCGCTGGAATGTTAAATTTGCAAGGATAAATCAAATTTTTTGCACGAAATAATTAAGGTATCATATTTTTACGTTGTATATACATTTGAGAATAAAAATCTGATCAATTCAAATTTCTCCTCGTTATGTCAACAGAACCTGTCGATCAAGATGTTTACTTTATTCTGTCTTATTTAAATGCTTCGAATAAATTAAGGTGCATGAGTTTGTTGTGATGAACACAATTCTCTTTTCTCTATGTGTGTTCGGAAACACGACCAATCTTATCATGAGTTACAAACGGCTGTAAAAGATCATATGCATATATATACAATACTTATGTTGCAGAGAAAATATTTTCGTAGCAAACGATTCAGTAAAATTTTCATAATGATGGTTCATCGACGAAAAATCGTGTTTTATTCTACGATGGATGGTATCATAATTTACTCAGTGTGTAACTGAGAAATTACATCGTTCTGATCTGGTTCAAACAGCATTAAATCGATAAGTCAGTTAAATTTGGACAGTGGTAAAATGCACACGACTTTATGGCTCATGTTAGGTGAAGCACCATAGACAGATCGTAAATCAAATAGTAAAGACATCTGTAAACGTTTTTATAATGAAATGTTTATCTTTGTTTGTATGAGTTGCCGCTGTATCATGAGAAAATCTCACACTTTTTAAAATGAAATTTGTGCTCTTGTATTGAATAATTTTAAAGATTGCTGTTACATATCTCTCAACAGAATTTGATTTTTCTGAATGAAAAATCTAATCTCAGTTCACTCTAGTAACCAACGCTTCACTCAATTTAAGTTTGTAAGCTATCTTCTATGGGATCACACTGTTAATTATTTTTGCTTTTTTTTACAACTACAACTCAATAAATCTGTGCATTTGGAGAGACAATTCTGTGTCCAGATAAATAAAAACTGAGTGATCCTTTGTATGAGTGAATCATCATTTGTTTTCCAAATAGGGCTATATAATTTACCAAAGTAGGTTGTTGCTACTTGTCAAACAACAAAAGAAGTTTCCAATGGATACCATCTATTGAAATAAGTGTTTTTCATAAACACCTTAGTTGCGTAACACTTCATTTGGTTCCCGATAAATAATACAGGTGCTTAGTTTTGTATTTCAGATTTCTTCTGGTTCACTGGAAGCTTTTGATGCTGTTGCTTCTAGCGCGGTAAGATTAAACTATCTCAACTTATTTTCATTTCAATAATTGAAAAAACTTCATCATAAGTTTATCCTTGACCAATTTTAACTTGTGACACTTAATATATAAAACGGGATGTGAATGGTCGGTGAATTTTAGAATCGTTCTTTTGATATCCCCAACAAATAAGTTATATATACATCAGTGTACAAATTCCAGTAATTACTTGTCTTTTTTCTCATATCTCAAATCAAACGACATAAAATCTTTAAAATGGATAAGCACTTGAAAATGTGACAATAAATTTGATCAAAAAGCTGTCTGCTTAGACCAGGGAAATATTCCTATGACTTATGGTAAACCAAACTAAATGTTAAGGGCAATCAGTATCGCCATTTGTATTTATCCCATTCATTCTTATGAAAGTAACATATTCTATCAATAAATAACATTTCATGGGGTTGAAAGTTTGTGCGATTTACTTTATTCTCAATTAACAGTCCGATGGCGAGAACACAAGTGCAGATGAACAAATTTTCCAATATATGGAGAGAATTGGACCTTTGAAGGATAAGAAAAAATTAATAAAAGAAGCTTTCCAGTTGCATTCTCAAATCAAAAGTGTGAGTAAAGTGACGATGATTACTTGACAACTATTCGAAATTATGTTGTTATTCATTTTTTATACACCGATATTTTGTTGAAGATGGACGTAATATTCAGTGATCAGTACATTCGTATTTCAGTCATAAGAATACAACTATCCGACCTTGACAATCAAATAAATTTTTAGCTACCCAGTAGTGTAAGTTTTTTTTGGGTCGTAATAGTCAACTATCCAGAGATATACCAGACGATAAATAACGTGACCAAACTTTTTATGTTATTGACTGAACATCAATTCAAATAATAATAAACCTCTCTTTCTGGTGAATTTCATTGGAAATTAAAGCTCTCCTCAATTTATTTTTTCATATGTGAACAAACCCTGCCCTGTGAGCTTCATGTCTGTAACATGTTTTATTTCAAAAGATTACAGTGAATTAAATTAACCCATAGTGTCATTGAATAAGAAAAAGAAAATTCTGCGAACAAAATTTTCTTTTCGACGAAATCATTCGCTTAAGCTATACATTTGTATATATAGTTATATAGAAAGTATATGTCTAGAGGAGGATTAAAAAAATTGCATCATAAATTGGCTCAAGACTAAATAACAAATGTGGTTACGTACTAGTCAAGGGGTAGGGAAGAAAATAATTTATAGGTCAGATAATAGTTCAATTAAGAGACATGAAGAAAAACGACAAACAAAAAGATCGTAATAATAAACTGAAAAATAATTAAAAAAACGTGTATTAAGTAATAATGATAACTGACTAGAGTTTAAAATTGCAAAACAATAATTAAAAAAATTCAATAATGATCAAATAAAAGTGCAGAGAAAAAACCCGAAACATACCCATTAAAGGAATTCGGGTCAAGGAAGGATGAAAGGTTGGACGAATCGTTTTTGCACGCAAAGTTCGGGGTTGAGTTCGTGGATTGCGATTGCCTCAGCAGTGTATAAAATTATTGATTCGACATCCTTTCGATCCGATTCCTTTGACTCTGTAGATTACTTTAAAAGAAGAATCCTTTGGAGCGATGTGTCCACAGTCGATTAGATGCTCATGTGTAGAACTAGTAATTGTTCTACGTTATCTTTTTAAAAGCCAAGCCGGATAGTTTTTTGAGGTGCGTTTGGAAAATGATCGCTATAGACATATATTTTCCATATAACTATATATACAAATGTAAAGGCTTAATTAAATGATTTCGTTAGAAAGAAAATTTTCTTCGTCGTGAAACAAAGCTAATATTATTGATACAAATACTTATCGTTCCCCTCCACTGACCTCCATATACATGCTTCAATTTGTGGAATTACACGCAAGAAAATCTATACTACACACGTCTTCAAAATTTCACTATCATTAATGAAAACATATTACAGTTCACTTACATTAATTGAAAATTCCAAAAACACTACTGATTATTAGCCAGATTGAAACAACGTATTATGGATAAGCATCCGATAACATTGACGATTCAAAGACTTTATTCTAAGAGGAATGGAATAGTTGGAAACACTCGATTTTTTGTTAAAATATTTATATCATAAAGTTTCTAACTGATTGTAAACACGTATACCACATGTTGTTATAACACCAATTTCGTTTCTTTAGAAAACGATAACTATGATGAGATAGAATCGTAAAGGTAAATAAAACTAGAGTAATCGCTCAACGAAAAGTTGATAGTGTTATCGGTCGCGCCAAAAACGATAACAAGGCAACTGGTGCTTGCTTGTCCAAAAACCACTTCAAACTAAACGCCACTAAACAAAGTTCTTAATCTGGTTCCGAAATCCCTGGTAAAGCTCACACAATAAACTAAATCAGATAACTGATTGTAATTAGACTTCTCTATTATATTTATTTCAGGAGATACAACGATCTCGTTCTGATTCAGAAGTCGCATTTGAGAAATTAACAGAAATCTGTCCCATAGTGAGTTGACGATCAAACTGTTTTTAAAATATCACTTACATGTGAAGCTCATCTCTTATCTCAATCACTGAATAGATGCTAGATACGTCAACCTGAACGTTTACTTCAAATTAGCTAGTAATTTACCAGCAACTTGAATATTAACCTTCATGTTTTCTCTGATCATAAAACTAAGAAACGAATTCACTCATTGCTTCAGCGACCTACTGTTATCGTCACCTCAAAGCAGCATTATTGTGACCTTCATTGGTGCCAAAACAACAGTCTTCACCATTATCTGTCATTTGTCAGCATTACTTCTACATTACCAACGTTGTAACGATATAATGCAATGGTTTTATTGGTCACTACCACATGTATAACACTACATATACTTTGATGCTATGCATTTATTCGCATATCTCAGAACACAAATACTTACTTACTTAATTAGTTACTTACGCCTGTTACTCCGACCAGGGAACACAAATAACCCTTACCTAATCCCACAATATTTTCTTCGATTCAGTTACAGTTTTGTCGTCAAAGTGTTGAATGCCCCCACATCTTAACCCTTGGATAATAAGAAATAAAATTATTATTATTTACTACAAGCGGAAGAATCAAAATGGTCTCGATATTGCATGTGTCTGAGTGAACTAAATCATTCATCTGGGACTAACTTTACCAAATAACTCGAATTACGACTGAACATCAATTGTCCTTCTCATCAAATTGTCACCCACTGAGCCAGAGACGTCGTCTGTGGTGATGTTGTACTCAAAACTGTCTCGTTTGTGAGATCATAACAACTTAAACGAAGCTAATCACATATCCATGCTGGAAACGGATTAGCAAAATATAAATCTGTCAATATGGAGATGGTTGGAAGCTAAATCCGTCTGTTCGCTGAACTGTGGAAAGAAATGTGTGTTGACTAAGTATCTCAGGATGGAAAATCAGTCCAGGAGAATTCATAGCATCCACAAATGTACTTTATCAATGCTCGTAAAAGTACAACCTTTACTCAATGGACTCTTGTCTAACCATTTCTTAATACTCAGAATTAGAATTTAGATCGATAGAATGTAACTGTTTACACTAAAAAAGGTTTGTTACCATCCAGTTACCCATAAATCAAATACGCAAAATTGGTGACACTTTTCGTCTGTTGTTCAAAATGCTGTCTCGATTTGATCAAAGTCAACTGGTTTAAAAACTACTTTGAATAAAAATCACAGGTGAAAACTTCATACATTATTATCTTTGAATGATCATGCAGTTAGCAAGAACAGTACAGTGTTATTTACATTAAATTGTTGACAACAAAATGTATGATAACTACCTATCAGGATCAGCTGAGTGACACTGATCATATGTAGAAAACGGATTTGTGACATGACCCATTTACTGTCTTTGTAAATGTATTTCAAATTATTGTTTATTTTGATCAGATCGATTGGAATCTTTTATTTAAAAGTGTATTCCGTGAAATCAACTATGAATCATACAAGAATATGAAAATTATTGCCTATGATTCAAACACTTTGAAGAAGGTTTGTGATATACACAAGTTGGCTATGGAAACAGATAAAGGAAGAAAGTAATTTCCTCTCATTATTGAGTGTTACGCTTTTAGAAACGATTTATCCCGACAAAATCTCTGTTTTTAATCTCTATCTTTACATTGTTCTTCTCATTTATTGATATGGTATTCAAAGTAGTTCAATCTAAACAGTGGGCATTACATATTTTCTTGAACTACTACGTGTATGTTTATTTTAACAAAATGTATCTAGTGTTTATAGACATCAAATTGTAAAGCGATTGGTTTCACACTGTTTCATTGTTGGATATTAACATTATAGAAATACGACTTTTGCTTATTTGACAGTAAGTACTCTTAATTAAACAGACAATCAGACTTGCATAAAATAAGGAAAACTTAATCCGGATTAGTGCGAACCTTAGTTTGAAAGTCAAAATCAATTCATATTTAAACTCTGAGTTCAATTCAATGTTTGATCATAGATGTAAAATAAGAAAGTTTGGTTTAGCGAAGAGTTCTCTTCTCGGCAAATTCATTTTCCAAGATGTGCAATCGAAAATATTAACTTATCTTTTACAATGACATTGCTTACAATAAGAGTGATAATAAATGTCTGTGAAACACAATAACAGTGAGGTGGAATAAACAAAGACATTGAAACGTTACTTGTATCAAGGAATCTAATAATTATTTTGTGGTTGAGAGCACGATTATCCATCTTGAAGACAGATAGAGAAATAATTTTGGCGGTTGGTTAATAACTCCTCGATTTACTGGCTGGAATCATTTGTATCGATTGGCTCACTTAAGCGAACACATAAGTCATCATAAGTAACAAGCTTTTCGTTTTAAATGAACAGTAACTGTGGATTTTACTATATATTTGTGAGTTCACAAACCTATTCATTAAACTAATTATGGAACATAGCTGTACAAAAGCCAGAATACCAAAATATTTAAACGAATATCACATTATTCGACTTCATACCGATGTGATTGCATGTATAACCATGGAGTAAAGGGAATATGAATTGTGGTCATTCTGTGACTTCTTTCCCATATCTAAGTAATCATCATCCATGATGAAATATTCTCCTACTCTTACAAACTACCACGATTGTTAGTTCTGTGTAAAACGTTTTCTTGTTATTGTCAGGTCTTTTAACTACCACTTTTCCTAAATTGTTTACCAATAAACAATCATTATCCTATTAACATTTATTTTCAAAGAACTTTACATTCGATGACAGTGATCAGTTTCTTGTTCAACATGAAAAATATATTGAACCGGTATTTCAATGAGTTTTATTCTCCTAATGTTCGTAAGTAACATTGTCAGTTCCTTTAATCCAGTTGATTTCCAATTTTATCTATGTTTAATCCAAACGTTTTCATTTCAATATTAGAGGTGAAGGAAGAACAAGTAAACAAATCGCAATATAATTCACTTGAATGTCGATATATTTAACATACAAACTATTATCAATATTAAGATACATTCGAGATACATAACAGTCGACACCATAATAAAGACAATGGATTAAATAATGATTAGGCTGAAATAACGTAAAACAAGTTTCACGTATTCACATCAGAGTCATAGTAAAAATGACCTAACCATTGGCTCAATTTCTCTTATTTTTTATACCAATTTGCTCTCGATGTGTGATTTCAACAATCAAACCAAGTCTTACTAATGTGTATGTATCTAGCCAATTTCAAACGGTATTTTTTTCTAATGAGATAGGATAAATGAGTACACTTCTGTAATTAGTCATACAATGCTCAATATGAATAAAAATAAACGATGCTTTATTTATTTGTCTCGTTATATCACTTCGTTTATTGACGTGATAAAATATTGATTCACGTCGACAGAAATGTCAGCGGAAAAGCCAACAACTTGCATTGATGAAGTAAAAGAAAATTTCCGATGGACAATAGAAAAACATCACAAATATTCTAGTATAAGTGAAAGTACAGAAAATCAAGTGAGTCTACAATTTCATTAAAACCCTGTCTATTTATGGTTGTGTTTGCTTATTTTCAGAAAGCCCGATTTTGAACTGCTTGGAACTAATCGTGTTCTGGTTTGCAATTTGTTGTCAGTGAGACGTTCATTTCAATGATAAAACTGAAGACAATTTTATTGTTTCCAATCATAGATTGATATATTTATGTTACTACAACATGCTCTAAGCAAATTACAGTGAACAATTTTGTATTCTATTCAGACGGACTACCATTTAGTGATGAATTGATTAGCTTGTTTCATAGAAGATGGTTGTCTGTTTGATCACATACACATCTGAATGACTGTTTCTTCCGTATTGAATTGGCAGTAAAACAAAGGACATTTGTGTTAAGTGGGCCATATCGATTTCTTTCGTTTTCAATTCTCTTAATTACTGATGGTTTATTTTGTAACATTTGCGTAATTACTTTGATTATGAGTAATATATCATTATGCATTGGATAGGTTCTCGAAATGTTCAAACAATTGAAAACGACCGTGACTCATTCATTGTCATCAAAGTCATGGTCGAGTGAAGATGAAAAGCAGAAATCTATCAACTTGGTTTGTCCTATTTTAACTGATGAGTTGAACACTAATCCGTTTGTTTGTTTAGGCTAATGCTTATCAGTTGTCCATAATAACTTCGAAAAGTTTGTCCGCAGCAGATAGAGAGAGCCGAGATTTCATATTCAATGTGAGTCTCATAAATAATTTATTGGTTGTTGATTATCATCCTGGAACTATGTGTGAACTGAACTCGTTAAATAGCAATAATCACTAGACGTCTTGAAAGAGATTTGCATTGTACTTCCACTCTGTCCACCATATGACTTGTCTTGACGTTAAGAATTCATGACTGACGTAAATACAATGAATGGAACAGAATAATATGCTATCGTTTCACTTCGGTATTTCTCATCAATTGCTTTCAATCATACTTGTCATGAGATATAACATACTGTCCAACTATATTACCAAGCAGTTGGAATGACACAGAATATCAGGACTACGTATGCATGTATATGTTGTGGATGGTGTATGTAACAATCATAAAGTAGACAGGGCAGTAATCATACATAATTCCAGAATTGATAAGAAGGAATGTGTAACAGTTATAGAAGATTTGAATAGCTCTCAATAACTCCGAGAATTCTGTTGTTGCTTACATAGTTCGGAAATGGATGATCTGGCTGTTGAGGCTGGTTTAGTAAGGTTTCTCAATTTAACTTAGGAGTAACTGATTTACACTAGTCTCCTTCTGATAGAATACACTAGGTTCGAACATAATGTTGTAGCGTGGTGTCGAGTTGAGCTTGACTATAAACCTCGCTACAAGACTACGTGCCAATTAACCAATAAGATCCCTGTAGGCCAATATCAGAAGACAGATGATGGCTGTAGTCGAGATGTATTTGTTGGCGATCTCATGGTATCGAAAGAATACCGAGATCGTGCCAAAGGAGTACAAGCGTGGTTACTGAGCGTAACCAAATTCGTACAAGTTCAAAGTCAATGGGAGAGTAAGTAAGTGTAATGGCTGTCATTAGCACAGTTAAACAAACGAGAACAGTAAAACAGTCACTGGTACAATTGGTTATAATAATAATTGTTTTCATCGAACCAATCGCGTTCTGTTGACAAAAGTAGGTCACTACAATGTTACTCGCTAGTTCGGGTTGAGGTGTCTATTAGCTTCAGGTTTTTAGGAATGTGCTCTGAAGTGCGATCGTGCATACAACTTAGTTTTTTAAATTGATCTATGTGCTTTGTCGTGTACAAGTGTTCGTTCATTGACTCATCAATAGAATTTCGCAGGTAAGCTTCCCTTCGTAGATTTTTCAGCTCACAACTCTGACATTTGCCTTCTTCATTTAATGCGAGCAAAAATTATTCCGTGTCTGACAAATAAAACCAAAATGGTTAAAGGCATTCGCTCAAAAATAGAAATGTACATTTTCCCATTTTGATGATACTGCAGAAGATTTATTAAGACATATGTATAGTTAAAATCAGAAAATAATGTTAAGAAGGAAATATCATGCTACTTCAAAAACCAAATGTCAATTGGAAATTGTTTCTTGATAAAAACTAAAACGAATTCAATGTGGAACGATCAAGCCCTAACTATTTATAAAAATCCTTGTTAAATAATGTTGTTCAGTTGTAGAATCGTAAACGTGAAATTCACAGCATTTCATATATTTCACTGTAGTCTCCGATTTCTGTGCTAAATGATATTTATATCATTCTGCCTGTTTCATATATTTACTATCCCGCTATGTACACTTGATTCTGAATGTTTCATTGAAAAGAGGTAAAGAGTGTTTGTAAAACTGCATTCAATCTGGTGACAATGTAACAGTGACAACCTTGTTCTTCAAAAAGTACCAATCTATTGGGAATACTTTGACGTATCTGAAGAGATCTGAACAACTGCTGCAAGCAAAGATGAACGAAGTATTTAGATGGAACATATTCACGTATATTTAAAACAAAAAGATTTAATGGCGACACGTTCAGAAATTTCCTACATCCGTTTAAATAATGAATATTCTGAGAGTTCATGAAAATATCCCTTTCCTGTTTCAGAATGAAATATCCGAGGATGATTACTTAATGAATGTCTACTATTCTCAGAAGACCAAGTTCCTTAAATCAATTTACAAACCACTGGATACTGACATGGAGTAATTTATAATTTTGAAGTATTTGTTTTACAAATTTTGAGTAGGCAAATACACTAAATAATACATATCTTCATGGAATTATTATACTTTCAAACAAATTTAACTCTGAGCATTAAAATACATCACATAATTGAGCTTCACATAACCAAACCCCTTGATAAGCTTAAACAGAGCAGGAACGAAAAGATTTTCATAATAAAACGAACTCATTATTCCATTTCACGTTTTCCTATCAGCTACATACAACCAAACATTCCAATCAATAATATAATTATTCACAAATGTTCAGTGTACCTGAGTTTGTGATGTTTAGATTATATTGGAAACGTAATAATAAGAAGAATAAAATACAGAATGTGTGACAGTAAAGTTAAGATCGACGTGTATTTGCATGTTAGTAAGTAAACAACGTTTAAAGTATTCGTCCCAACTCCCGTCCATAATGTGATTATTACGTGGAATTTATAAATGAATCACGTTCATTGTTTTGTAATGTATGAAATCGGTTTTCTTATAATCTCGTAATTCATACCAACTTGTAGCTCGTTGTGAACATCATTATGTCAAACTTGCATGAGTGATTGACCTCTAGATCACATTGGTAACTAAGCTTTGTTTCTTGTTACAGTCGACCGCAAACAGAGCGCGGCAAATGTTCAATGTAATCAAAGCGGATTATTTCCTGTACACATTTAAATAAATTAGAACGTTTATGGAATGCGATGAACCCATCGTACTTTGTTAGTTAATTCTTAGGTGCAAAGATGTTCAATTTTTCTTTAATTCGAAATTTAAATGAAACTATTCATCAAAGGGCGTCAAATTATTGAAAGTCTAAAAAAACGTATCTGCCCAATATCATGGCCTTCACACATATCATCAGGTCAATATTATAATATTCGTTAACTCATTTGAGTGAGTGATTTCTATCCATCTGATATTCTCTGTCCAGCTACGTGTACGTAAGCAAACTATGTACCATAATTTGAATCCCGATACACAAGTCACTAGATTGACTTTTGCAGTGTCTGTCCTAAAGATAATAACTGATTTCGAATACTTGTCTCAGGGTAACCCTAAATGTAATTAATTTCTAAAATTGTTTCGAGTCCGACTAACATGCACATCGACGACAGCTCGATGAAACCGATGGTCATAACACAGTTCGATCGATTGACTTTATATAGCGAATGAGATGAAATAGTATGACATCGATCGCCTTTCAAAAATCAATCAGTGGTAACTGAGTCTTTTGCTCAGTCGCTGTCGTATTTCTGATAGATATCTCAGCCCTCACTTCAAAGTTGTGCAACACCAACCTTCACTACATGCTAGCGTTATTTTATCGCTTTTCTGAGGAGAAAATGTATACTATGCATTGTGATTTGTGAAAGATCACTGTCAAATAAACGTAAAACAATTTAGCTAAATCAAATTTTTATTTCATTTATTACTTAAGTTTAAAATAGCTGTAAATTTTTCCATCTAACAAAGTCCTACATTTCTGTTCACATTTATTTAGACCTGACGCTTCTAGTTTTATGCCGTACATATCTAGTTCGGTTGAAAACAAACTTATTAAGATATCTGCCGGTCTATTAAACCCACCATATCTCGAAGAAGGATATTCAATGTCTGAAAAATATGGGACTATCGGTTGGCTTATTGGTCGCCAGCTTATGAATGAAGGTGAATTTTAAATAATGTTCCCTTTTGCTTTAATCAGATTGATGTCACAATTTATTATTTAAAATAGTTCGTGAAGTATACCAATGAATCAACTTAGTTTGCATGCGTAATCAATGGCTGAAACAAGTTGATGAAATATGTAAAGGTATTTTCACTGGGTTGCACAGTCTCTCTTGACCGAAATGTATGAATTCTTAAATTAGATAATGTGTAATAATTTCTAATAACAGAAATCAATATGATTTTCATTAATCACTTATCTGCGATAAAATGACTTGACAGGATGAGCACCATTTGTGTTTATTGTAACTGCACTTGCTTAAACAGAAATCTAATAGTCGTCATTCTCAGCATAGTGTTGTGGAAATCATTGCGGTTTAATTAAGATCATGAACCGACCAATGTCAGACCACCATTCAAAACCATATGCCTATAAGTATCATGTGCCCACTAGTGGTTGGCTTCAAATGTCCCGCGTTAATGATCGTGAGTTCACTCTGCTGAGGAATCCCATCACTAGACTAAAGTGCCGTCCAGTTCTTCCATGTTTTCAATGGTAGACTAACTTGATCGCCTCATGACCTCAATTAAAAGTCACAATTTTGATTGGTTTGAACATTGACAGTGTAAAGACTTTCTTAAATGACGTAAGTAAAACTTGTAATGTAATAAAGATTGTGTGATACAATAAAATACGTTTTCCATAAGAAATTCGGTGTCCCCTAACAAACCGTGAAATAATAGCTTACAAGTTTATTATCAAATGACGTGTAAAGCTCTCAGGATAATCCCGACAAATCAAACTCCTTAGACCAATTTCCTCATGGGAATGCTAGTATATTAAAATTCACCAACACTTTCCACTATTCCGCATTAATTACACTTACCATAGCAAAATATCATGATTTCTGTTACTGAAGATATGCAAATCTTTCGAATAAAAATCATTGAACCCGGTGGTTTGAAGTAAATAAAAGCTGTTTAAACTTTTATCTATATTCCCTGCATAAACTCAAATATTTAAATTATGCTTGTCTTACAGTAAATAATAACAAGGGAGCATATACACATGAAACTTCTCAGTTCTCCTGTATATCAACAAATGCAAACATTTTTGAGGCTCAACTATGTTGCTTGCAGAAACAAGACGAATTCAAAGGATACAACGAGAAGGTAAGCGGTCCTTTTAAAAGTTATTTTAGTCAAGGTAAAGTTTCGTGTTCAACGGCTTATAAAGTATCAACCTTGAATTTGATGGTTGAGTTGTATATATTGTTATTAATACAAAACGTAGCCCACTTTAAGCGAATATGTTTAAAAAGCCCATTGTGTTTATCAGCTGTACACGATTTCGAAATAGCATATAACTCATTCGGCCGACATGCCTTGTCAACCTACGAGTCTCTAGTTGTTCTTTTTTCCTTTGAAATAATGATGTAACTAAATAGGATTACATTAATGTTCAAAGCTGCATAACTTCAAACTGCCCAGCAGCCTATTATACTATATTTGCTGAGCGTTCGGTAATAGAAGCGATTCTTGTCGGATGCCCAATTTGCTGCAAATTCAACATAAAATATTCAGGAACAAAGATCATTGAGATGAAAAACGTTTTCCAGTGACCAATTGATACCATACAGTTTTAAATGCATAACTAATTATCATTATTTATTCTCAATAATCCTAAGTCACTTGAGGCATGGCAACTTACAAACATTATCAAATAGTTACCATGGCAATATTTAATGCAGTGAGCTCCTCTACTCGTTTTGGTTGACGTAACATAACGAAAGATTTACTGCAGAAGCAGGGAAAATACAGCATAAAGCTTGTTACAATAGACAGTCATTTATGACATGTAAATAAGCGTCATTTAAAATTAGTCGATGTTATCAATTAAGAACAGTAGTTTCCACGTCTATCATTTCTTGATTACGTTATGATTATAGTTGAAGAGTTGGAAAACTTTACACTGAATTATTGAGTTTTGAGGAGCGGGAAAAAAATTCGTACGAAAAACTGATGAAGAATAAAAATCTTTCATTTTTGTTGTATGTCGAGAACATAGCTTGTTGAATTCGTACATTAAAAGTAGTCTTGATAAAAGAATAAATGTTATAAGAGTAAGGAAAATTGTTTGACAGCAAACTCTAATTAAATGTATAGACTATATTTATTTTAATTTTATATGCACTACTGAAATTTAATTGTAAATGTGGTGAAGAAACATTTTAGAATTTCATTTAACACGTTGTAAGATTATTTAATCAAAAACCAGATTACTTGATATATTATCACAGTTATCATAGCCACTATATGTGTTCACTTTGCTTCTCATGTATACTAGAATCTGAGATCTTTGTCAGCTGATATTAATGGTCTCATGCTATCCTTTAAAGTGAGTGAATTTAGATAAGTTTGTGTTCATTGATTTCGATCATCAGTATTACGTGTCACCTAAACATAACATGTATTATCGTAAGTGTTGTATTTCAACAGTGAATCAGTAACAATTTCAATTCACTGAATGATTTATATATGAAATATTATGGTTGGTGAAGTATGGATTTCATATCAAAGCGATGAATCAGACGGTGTAACTTTAACAGTAGTTTAGGGAGTAATTACGTACAAGTATTTATAGATAGCTGTCTTCACAAGATACTCAGCATACATCGGCCGGATATCATCAGCAACAGCTTACTGTGGGGCAGAACAAACCAGCTACCAGCTGAAGAGGAAATTAGGAAAAGGCGATGGAAATGGATAGGACATACATTACGGAAAACCCCAAACTGCATCACGAGAGAGGCGCTAACTTGAAATCCTGAAGGGAAACGGAGAAGAGGAAGGCCGAAGAACACATTACATCAGGAAATAGAAGCAGATATGAAAAGGATGAATAAGAACTAGAATGAGCTGAAAGGATTGCCCAGGACAGGGCTGGATGGAGAACACTAGTGAGCGGCCTGTGCTCCATCACTAGGAGTAACAGGTGTAAGTAAGTAAGTGGGCAATAATTGGTTAGTGTATCGTTTGTATTCACTCACGATGCAACAGATAGAAAGTTATTTTACGATTAAAACTCTATTTTACAGTGAGCACTAAAAAAGTGATTGGATTCTAGAAAGATGGAGATTACAACGTTTGAGTCATGCACATCCATCCATTTTAGTAGGTTGAATTCACATGACATATCTTGTTTAATCAACGGGAGTCTAGCATATCAGAAATGATGAACTCACAAAGTCCTAATTAATAGATTGTAAATTTCCGGTGTGAAAATTCCTTTTCATTGAGTTGTTAACTGACATACTTTTATTTTAGGCATACACGGGTCATGAAGATTTCAATGAAAAGAAGTCGTTTTACACATCGTTTGCAAAAGTATGTATTTCTAGATATCATAAATTCCACCTTTACAAAATGTATCTATTACAAGCTCACTAATATCATGTAAAAATGTGACTTTCATTGTTCAGCGACTATATAACATCCAATTCAAAATGCATATGGAATAAATGTTTACTATGATAAATACTGGAGTGATTATAGAATAATTCGTTTTATTCCACAATCTCTGAGATTATAAGAAATCAATCGTCGAGACGAAATTTTACTTTAATAAGAATGGAAACGTTTCAGTTGAACACTGACAATCTCGTGCTGTGACATTTGTTTCAAAAAGAACCATTCGGAAATGTCTTACATATTTAATGATTTGAAAGTAGAGTTTTAACGATGAGATTTGTCAATAAATCGTCACATATATTGCGATTTCGAAGTCTAGTAAAAAACCACAAACGACCTAGTTGTAAATACTTTGGTTACCACATTAACAGGATTGTATTACTCAAAACCGAGCTGCTTCTCACTCAAACCTGTACTATTTAATGAATAAATAGTATATGATTAGTGGATAGTGTAATTGTATAATGCGTTTTAACGTAAACTATTACTTCTGTTATTGGCGTTATTCGTTAGAAACATTATAGTCGAATCTTCTTTCTAATATTCTGTGCACATTCTTCTAGTCTAAAAACATATCGCGATAAGTATTTATTATCTTCATTGAGTTCGCTATTCATAATTTCCTTTTTCTTCATTTGTTCCTAATAAATGAAGATGATGTGTGCTAGCTACTCCACAGATGTTATTAATACCAAATTACAGTCTCCCGACTCCGTCAATGAATTCAGGTAATTGATTTAGTTATTAATCTGTTCATCTCAAAATAGAGTGTACATTTCTCATCTCTACAAAATGAGGTTTTCAATTTTCGAGAACACTGTTCAATAATCCATATCTATGAAGTATGATAACGTAAACAACACAGTCATCCGCACCATAAGATTTCTATTCCTCAAGCACTGAACAGATAGTAAAGAAGTGTAACTAGTTGTTTTATTGAAGATAAATACCGCACGTTAAACAAAATAATTTCTTGTAGTCATTACAGTTCAGTGATTGTCATTTCACATTCAGAATATGGATACATTTCACTCAATGTGGTTTGTCAACTGCATTAAATGGTATTTCACGTTGTGATACACTTTTCATTTCTTTCAACGTAGATCTCAAACATTCACTCACCAAAGCTGTATTCATTCCTGTGCGTTAATACAGATTTGAATATTCAATATAAAATCATCCATATCATATCTGCATCAATCAATGAAATCAATAATTATTCCATACACTTATTCATGAATGATTAGAATAGTCTATTACGACCCTACTATTTAATAAATATGTTTTGTTTCAACGTTTCTCATTACCAGTGTGAATGATCTTCTGAAACACAGTCAGGAATTTGCCACTACACACCAATGTTCATCTGGTTCAAAAATGAATCCTGAGAATAAATGTGTTCTATAGAGCGAAGCATAAATCGTGTGTGTGTGTGTGTGTGAAAATGTCTGCTGGAGTGTATACCTAATTTTGTTTTATTTAAACTGTCATAGTGTAGTTTTACACGTTTTCTTTTCACAATAATAAACCTCATTTTGTAACATGACAATTGAACGTCAATATGATATTGTTATATTTCGATGATTGATCTGGACAATGCAAATAGCTAAAATAAAATCATTTTAATCCAACGGAAGAGATATTTTGAAGGATTTTCCTTCTGAATGATTGTTTTCATCACGCTCAAATATTTTTGTAGATTAAATTCATTATTGTACCGTTTGTATTGGATTCTCATGACTTTTGTTTTTAACGAAAAATATATTGATTAGCTTCTTAGTTACTCAGATTAAAAAGTGATTTTTACAAATATTTTACTGTTGCAATAATATCGACACGTAAGACTAACCGGTGGATGAATGCAATGATATAATGTGACTGAGTGATGGTTGCTACTCACGAAAGAGTGTAGATTGACCGAGCTATTGGAATGAATAAAAATCAAAGACAAGACGACTAGTCAAATGAATGATTTCGTTCATGTAATAAAATAATATGCTTACATACAGAATATGAACACAAAATAAACACGATAAAACATCATAGACTATTAGAAGAAATTAACTTGTAGGTCACTCAATATTTCATTCAATTGACAACTGGCTATAAGTCCAAACGTGTTGAGCATCGTATCAAGAATTCAGTTGATCCGTATGTTGGTTATTAAGTACGTGAAATCATTTTAGTTAGTTGACGAAAAAGGTTTAAAATAACTGAATAAAAATTTGATGATAAATACAGAAAATAACGATATCTAAAACTATCATAATTATCTTATCATCAAAAGCCTAGTGGGTCAGAATGTTCAAGCCACAAGAAAACTGAAATCAATCAAAATACGACAGATATCTGTTAAGCATGAATATTAACAGTGAATATAAATTCGGACAACAGATGAGCTAAGAAGCGATATGTTTGCGGAAAATAGACAGTGCTCTATTAATTATAGCGTGCGTTTGAATAAAATATGCGAATTGCAAATACAAAATCTCTCAGAATAAGCTGAGATAATAAACTAAGTTCAAGATAATAAACAGAGAAAAAATAAATGTTTGAATGTAACTCATACTGCATGATGTATATCGACAAAAAGTATACAAAGCTACTCATCACAAGAGTTACATTGAAAGAAATAATAGAAGTAAAATACTACTAGAAGAATGTGTATGAAATTTATGAGTTATTTAAATTATATTCATAGTTATAAGCTTAATATGTATTCCCATAAAATAATTTTTGAAATCAGTGACTAACACTGGATTCTGGGACACATTTTGTCTTAGAAGGGACTTGTCGGACGAGTGTACCTGCATTCCACTGTTTATGTTAACAACGAGACCTAAATCTAGTATCTTTCATTGTAATTGCATTGTGGTGTGGATTACTTATGTCCACACAAGTAGTATATGACAGTGGTCAGGCATAGAATGTATTTCAGTAGAAGGTCGATGATGAAAGAACTGTAATGAAACGCAAATGGTATGAAAACGCATGAACAGTGAAATCTGAGACAATGGGTTGATGTTTGCTACAGGAACAGTCAAGTTTGATATGATGGATTGATATTTTGCAAATTAACGATTTAAAATATTGTTCTCAGATTTTATTGAGATGCTCTGTAGTTATGTGCCTAAATACATTCGATTGTCCCCATTGGTATTCTTGTTCACTACAGCATGACTGTATTTTAAAACTTGACAAAAGTGAACTATCAACTACAGACTGATGCAAATCCTTATCAATAGAGCAACATGTAACCTTATGACCATTTGAGTTGGGTGGATATCAGCTTTTATTTTGAAGTAAAAGGCATCCAGTTTAAGTTTCCGATTGAATGTCAACATTAGCATACACTGTCATCCAGATGACGAGTTCTGAGTGGGATAAAATACATGTTATGGATTCAACTGACAGGCATTAGTTTTTCTAAAATTGCTTATGATTAATAGCGGTATCGGTGAAATTCGCTTAGGATAGAACAATACTGAAACTCAGGATCCACAGAAAGTCAAAGAATGAATTCACTTTTAACAGTCCTACCAACTTTGAGCCAAATCTTACAAGGTGTCTAACCACTGGCCAGAATTATGACGAATATGCTAAGCAGCTAGTCCGGAGCACATTAGATGATTCAAGCATCCTGTCAATCTAAGATACAAAGTAGTCAAATATCGGTTCCCTCCATTACATAGATTTGAATGAATTCATCGATTGTATCATCAATACATCATTTGAAATGTACTTCTGGATGTCTCAGTTACTTTCGATGTTTTGCATTCAGTCCTGTGAGGGTGATATGGATATACAGTTTTCGATTATTCTACTATATGAAACTTCTTCATTGGCAAGGTTTCAAAGCTAATCAAATGATAGGCAATAATAAAACTACGTAGTTGTACCATTACAGATGGTTTAATAGATTTAAACACAAGGTTTAGAAAGGTAAATGAACAAATCTTTGATAAACTGTTGTATTCCACAGAACTGGCGAAAATAAAACTTTCTTGCCTTCAAATAATATACGTAAAAGAGTTTGTGGAATACTTATTCTGTGTTCCGTAGAAATATTGTCCATTTGTACTATGAAAACTTAGGTGAGCTACTCAATATTTCATCACACGTTGTGGTAAATATTTTCACATATTCCAAAAGCATTAGGTTCAAGAACCAGGAATTTTTTGGTGTTTATTTACTCCTATAAAAACCATCGAGTATTGCGTCAACAGTTAGTATCCACAAACGCTGTTCTGATCATAGGTAGTGACTTAGGTAAATATGTTTTCAAAATCATTTGTCTCGGAAGTCACAACACCTCTGGTGATCTGGTATTGATGAGACCATAATTTGTGGATGACATTTGAGAAAAATCATCTACCTACTAGAGTCTAGAGAGAGTTATAAACTGGCATAAGATACTAGAATCTGTATTTAAAGTAAGACTTTATGGTTAGAAATTAGAGTCAGGGTTTTCGTCACAAACTGACATTAGCTATAATGCCTAAAGGTTATTTTTAATAGTTGAATTCATGGGTCGATGTAGGCTAGATTACCATTGAAAACTTAGATGCACTGGACGGCCGTTCCTATAATACCGCCAACGACGACTAAAACAATACAAATCCTCACAGAAATTTTCTCTCGAAATGGTATACCGAATGTCATTGTATCTGACAACGGTTCACAGTTCACCTCCAGCCAGTTTCAGTCATTTTGTCAACGGCTAGCCATAAAGCACTTACGGTCGCCACCTTATCACCCGCAGTCGAATGGGCAAGCAGAAGGTTTGTAGATACGTTTAAAAGAGCTTTGGTTAAGACAAAAGGGGAGGAGACGCCAGCGGACGCGTTGCAAAATTTCTTATACGTGTACCGAACAACACCAAATGAGACGTTGCCGGAGCAAAACTCCCCAGCAGA